GTGTGGGTGATACCACAAACTCAACAGAAGGGGGGGTTTGGAAACGGACCGGATCTTCAACAGGCCTTCAACAGACACCAGACTGACTGGATCTTCAACAGGCCTTCAACAGACACCAGACTGACTGGATCTTCAACAGGCCTTCAACAGACACCAGACTGACTGGATCTTCAACAGGCCTTCAACAGACACCAGACTGACTGGATTTTCAACAGGCCTTCAACAGACACCAGACTGACTGGATCTTCAACAGGCCTTCAACAGACACCAGACTGACTGGATCTTCAGCAGGCCTTCAACAGACACCAGACTGACTGGATCTTCAGCAGGCCTTCAACAGACACCAGACTGACTGGATCTTCAACAGGCCTCCCACTGCTGCCCTTCATTGAATTACTTACTGATCCTCTTCCTAATATATTGCGCACCGACGTAATTGATGGACGACCAACACAAAACATAATGTGTTCACGTGTTGCCTAATGTGTTATTATGGGTTCATTATGGGTTCATTATGGGTTCATTAGCAGCTTCCATGGAGTGAACATTTGTTCGTATCTCCAACGCAGGAACATTTTACAGGAAGCGTGTCAGTATTTATTAAGGACGATCCATAAAGTACGAGCAGCAGTCCTCCTCTGGAAGTACAACACATGGAGCAGATGTTCGCTGCAAATTGCCATCAGCTACAAGGAAATGTTTAATTATTTTAGTTTTGGCGGGTTTTGTGTGTGTGTGTGTGTGTGTGTGTGTGTGTGTGTGTGACCGAGAACCGGCTAATTTCCCATAAGGTTGGTACTTCTTCATTCAACCTGTCCCATCTGTCAATACACTCACCCAGTCATTCAGTGTTTTAGTAACACATTCATTTGCTCACACATGCGTTCACACCGGTCCTGGTTCTGGTCCTGGACGGTCTGGATCAGCTTTATAGTTTTTAAACATCCACCACTCCCAACACATCGCTGTGATTCTGATGTATCGTATCTTCATTTTAAACTCTTTTCTTTTACTTGTTTTGTTTTGTTTGTCCATCATGCTGTAAATAAAGTTTGCTTGAAGGATTGAGGAGCCCTACCTCTGTCTAGCGAGGCGTCTGGGGAGGCGAAGCCCATGAGGCTGCTGATGTCACTCTTGTAGCAGAGGTCTGTCTGGGGGGTCTTCTGCCTCACATGGAGAGACGGGTCTGGAGGAGAGACACACAACAAGACACTCGTTAACCAATCAAACTCATCGACCAATCAAACGCATTAGCCAATCAAACGCATCGATCAAGCCCTTCTGCTGATCGATGCAGCAGCACTTTTATTTTGAAAGAACTTTGGGTGTGGATTGAATCATTGGTCACATGTGCTGCATCCCGCTGTACATTATAGATGGGTGCAGCTGAACAGCAGCACATACATTAATATTAATATTAATATTAATATTACAGCTGGGCTCCTCTCAGGTTTCATTGAAGGATAACAATGAGAAATGTGGAGAAACTGTAATGTGGAGAAACTCTCTACAAGAAGACAGGACAGGCTGGCTCATGTATTATTTAATAATATCTGAGGTTGTTATTCGCTGTATGAGCCGTATGTCGTGTGACCTTGGCTAGCACACGTATGTAAAGTGTGTAATGTGTCCAGATAGAGAGATGCAAACTTTACTGATCCCCAAAGGGAAATTCAGTTGTCATGGCAACAGTGGTACATATTGTGCAATTACAGAAGCAGAGTAAATGAAAATAAAAATATCAAGAAAATAAAGAATAAAAATAAAGATAAAATAAGTACAAAAATAAATACAAAGTGAATACAGAATGCAGGGATGCAGTGGTGCAAATAGATGCAACTGTGCAGAATGGTTTTATAAATAAATATTAATTAATTAATAGTGAATTTTTAAACCACAGAACGCAGGCTGCCGTACGTACGTTCACTTTACTTTGAATTCTGACACAATGGCGTGACACACCTGAGGCTTTAAAGCGTTGAGGGTAAGTAATTTGCAAAACCAATAAAATCCCAGAATGCCCCTCTCCACCAGAACATATTAAACCCATTACTCCTTCATCCGTTGAGCTAGCGCCGAATTCACAGCGACTGGCCATCTATCAATACGGCTTTCTGTCACTGCAGATATACAATTAGCACATCACCATGCTAGGATGAGCTACGCACACACACACACACACACACACACACACACACACACACACACACACACACACACACACACACACACACACACACACACACACACACACACACACACACACACACACACACACACACACACACGCCTCCAGACATGCATTGTGCAGATGCAATGAATATCTAGGGTGAACATATGAATATACATGTGGGTACAAACAAACACAAACACTGAGGCAAACACACACACACACACACACACTCTCAAAGACAAACAAGCACAGACACACAAACACCCACACACCCACACACACACACACACACACACAGGCAAAGACAAACATGCACGCACACAATGAACCACATGCACACACACACACAAAATCTCTCACAGGCAAAGAGCAACATGCACAGACACACAAACACGCACACACACACACACACACAATCTCCCACTAAACCCTGCTTGAAGCGACTGCTTAAACACACATGCATTAGCATTTTTATGACTGGGTGAGATTTGATTTGGGCTGAGGGTCGCCGGGTTTCAGAGAGCGCTCCGCTCTTCGCCACAGAACCGCTCAGTGAGCGCGTGCCGGACGCTCCCCTCCGGGTCACTTCGCATTAAAAATGAAAGAGAAAAATCTGCATTTTAGAAAGGCTAACCCTCTCTTCCGCTGCACTGGGACAGACCAGGACCAGACCAGGACCAGACCAGGACCAGACCAGGACCAGGACCAGACACTGGACCAGTCATCACTGTCATCATACATGTATGTAGTTTAGTTTAGTTTATTTGCACATTTTAAAAATATAAAACATAAGAAAAAAATAATAAAGTTAAACATTGTGCTGGAGAGGTTGGAAGCCAAAAGAGGCTTATAAAGATACCTCCCCAATATGAACAACAATAATCATCTTTGCAGTATCAATATTAAATAGTGATACAAAAATTATAAAAAATAAGACAAAAAAATAAACAATTTACACACAAAAAATATATATATAATTAAGTCAGGACCACTTTTGTCAAATAATCTTTTATTCTAAAGCAGAATATAACATGCATAATATTACATTTGCAGAATATTACATTTGGCGGTATGGCTCTGTTCTGGGACCTCCTTGCCCTTCCACGTGCCTATGTGGAAAGCCTTAAGGCAGGGGGAGCACTCCTCCCTGCCCTTCCATGTGCCTACATGGAAAGGTTTAAGACAAGGAGAGCGGCAGCAGAGACCCCCCGGGGTACAGAACAGAGCAAGCATCAATGACAATCAGAAATGACATTGATTAATTAGATACAACATAAAGGAGGAGCTGGGGTGGAGGTGGGTTGCAAAGCTAGCAGAGAAAGCAGCGAAGATAGGCGGCTGGAGCAGCTTAAATAAGGCGCCAAGAATGATGTTTGCCAATGGGTGTTTGAGGGGGAGTCAGCTGAGCTGTCAGCTGACTGTGTATGGTATCCAATGGGAAGCTAGGGAAATCAGCTGATGTATGTCTATAATAATACTACGTATTTGAAGCGCTCTGCATGCGTAACGTAAACCTAACGCGGCAATATGACTACTGTGATATCTGTACTGAGCCGAGCCTGACTTCGTGGCCTGCCTGAACTAACGCTATGCTCAATTTACAAATGTAAATGCATAACAGAAACCAAACAGTGTTACAAATCTTTACTAATTAAAAATCTTCTCAGGTGTTTTTTAAACAATGATAACTTTGATATTGATTGTAGTGATGGATCGTTCCAAAGAGACGGACCTCTGTATTTTAATGTGTATACATTAAGGGAAGTCCGACAATATGGAAGATAAAAGTCCTTTGAATGTCTTGTATGATACGAGTGAATGGTTGAGGAAAACTTGGCAGGTCATGAGTTAAATGTACATATTTATACATAAACACACGTTTGATGTAGAGAGTATGAATCCGACTCTGAATCAGGAAGTGAATTATTACCGCTAAGAAACGGTTTTCCTGTACAAGGAATTTGCCATGGTACAAATACAAGACACAAATGACAAAAGTCCACCTCACTAGATGAAGGCGACTGCAGATCCAACAAGCCACCACTCAACCGCTCTTCATCCCTCCTCCTCCTCCTCCCCCTCCTCCTCCTCCTCCTCCTCCTCCTCCTCCTCCTCCTCGCCTCTCCCTATCATTAAGCGACTACCCGCTTATTAGCATGTCATTAAAGGTCCAACTATTTGCGTTAATTGAGCACAGATGTGCACGGTTCAGGGGGTGGTGCCGCCATTATACAGGAGATTACCCATAATGCACATGGAGATGGACTTTATATGGATGCTAATAGATAGTTTGGTCTTGAGTCGCCGTTCTGGGGTCCTTGGTAAAAGCGCTGGAAGGGCACGTCTCCTTTTTTTCCCCCCTTCACCACATCAATATTTTAATACCAGGCCGCCCCAGCACTTCGCCGGTCTGTAATTTAGAAACTTTGCTGCTAAGATGCCATCTCGCCGCCACACACAGGGCCGCTGAAAACCGCTCAAAACCCGTGTTTCGTGTCAGCAATGACAATAAAATAAGTGTGGGCGCAAGTCGCTTCCTAGCGAGCCCGCCGGTTGAAAGCACATTTTATCTTCTCAACTCGCGTGTCGTCCTTCTCGGGGTCCAGCTGGCTGACAGCAGTTCAGCCGAGGCCAAGGAAAACAAGCGAAAGTGTGAAGTGGGAAGGAAGCGGAGAGAAGAGTGAGATATGAGTACGAGTTCAGGTCGAGGCTGGAGCTGAATGAAAGCAAAGATGAGTGGGGATGGATCATTAAATCCGTCTGATTCAATGATGCAGAAGATCAACGCCGACTGCGACAGAGAAACCTTTTGTTCCTCACTAGCCAGGCAGGAATGGGCGGGATAGTGTTCGACTCCCAGCCGAAAGGTACTGGGTTCGATCCCCCGTGTCGACCTGCAGGCGTCCTAGAGTAAGATATCAAACCTCCTCACTGTATATTGCTTTGGCTATGTGTCTAGAATAGTAAATACAAATAATACCCCAGCAACCTGGTATCCTATGCTACACCTAATGGAGTTAAATGGTAAATGGACTGCATTTATATAGCGTGTGACGAATATACAGTATAACCGCACATATGTATCAGCAGGCTGTAATATCCACACATAGCCACTAGGGAATAGAAATACATATATAAGCTGTATTAACCGCACCTGGCCACCAGATGGCGGCACACATAATACACTGGGGGCGGGCGCACAACACTAGCCAATCAGAGCATAGTATGCGTCATAGAGGCCACGCCTGCCCAGGTACTACCAAACCACACATCCGGGGGAAGAGGAGAAACCCCCAGGCAGCGTATCTATTAGATATCCAGCTACCAAGCGCAGAGGTATGACTAAATCAAAGCGCTTTACAATTATTGCCTCACATTCACCCATTCATACACACATTCATACTCCGACGGCAGGAAAAAAAAGTGTCTTGTCTTAGCAGAGGATAAGAGAAAGTACAGCGTATGGGCGAGCGGATGTCACATAACTGCTGATTTTCATTAACTACGGTCATTTAAACTGAAGTGGAGGAGCAGGAGAACTCGTCAGGTGTGTTTGTTTGTAGTGGTGGACAACAATGAAAAGAGAAATATAATATCCAATTTTAACCACCAAGTCCCTAAGCCCCAAGTCAACACTAACACTTCAAACAATTAGGACTGACTTATGTTGTGAAGCTTTGGGTTTTATCCGCTGCGCTACAAAGCAGAAGACATTTGGGGTCCGCTGTCATTCGTCTTTCATCTGAGGAATTGCAAAACAAAAGGGATTTCAATTTGGTAATTAATGAATCAAAATGCATTTTGAGTTTATATGCCTTTCACAAGAAATATTTTAAAAAGGGATTACATTATTATGAAATCACTGCATGGCCTCAGTGTATTATCCACACAGCTAACTGAACTTTATCCTGATTGTTGTATTATTAATGATTATGAGGATATTACCGCACTGAGAACAACGTCCGTTAGCCCCGCAAGGCTTCACAGAGCTACTGAAGGGATAATCGAGTTATACTTCGGTTACTTTAGTCGAGTTGTGTGCTAAACCACAGAGCTAGCTTTAGCTCGCTGTGCTTTAAACCACAGAGCTAGCTTTAGATAGCTGTGTTTTAAACCACAGAGCTAGCTTTAGATAGCTGCGTTTTAAACCACAGAGCTAGCTTTAGATAGCTGCATTTTAAACCACAGAGCTAGCTTTAGATAGCTGTGCTTTAAACCACAGAGCTAGCTTTAGCTCGCTGCATTGTAAACCACAGAGCTAGCTTTAGTGTTTTAAACCACAGAGCTAGCTTTAGATAGCTGCATTTTAAACCACAGAGCTAGCTTTAGATAGCTGTGTTTTAAACCACAGAGCTAGCTTTAGCTCGCTGCATTGTAAACCACAGAGCTAGCTTTAGATAGTGTTTTAAACCACAGAGCTAGCTTTAGATAGCTGCATTTTAAACCACAGAGCTAGCTTTAGATAGCTGTGTTTTAAACCACAGAGCTAGCTTTAGATAGCTGTGCTTTAAACCACAGAGCTAGCTTTAGATAGCTGCATTTTAAACCACAGAGCTAGCTTTAGCTCGCTGCGTTTTAACCCCAGAGCTAACTAGCTGCGTGGGGTTTTGAAGACCTGACGGTGATGACCTCACTTCCTGGAGACGCTCCGCTGACCAGCGGTGTGATTTCGTGGGACGGTGAGTTCAACACTGTTCACCTCCTCAGTTTCTCTCTACTGCTCCTCATTTCGTCTCCGGGCCTTTCAACTGAGAAGTTTCTAAAGCGTAGAGAAAAGTAGTCTCTCTCTTTGTCTCCCCCCCTCTCCCCCTTCCCCACTCTCTCCCCCCTCTCCTCTCTCATTCTCTATCCCTCACCCGTCATATTTCATCCGTCCCCATGGGAAATAACGAAATAAAGAAAGAACAGAACAGGGAGACAGTTGGAAACAAAAAGAAGAGAAATCCCCCCCTAATGGGAAGTGGAGGTGATTAAGGAATGAAAGGCCGGCGCTTCGGCGACCGCTCCTCAAGCCGCCGCCGCCGCCGCGTTTTCCCGCTCTTTGTTTGCAATCAGCCAATGCGGCGCGGCGGCGTATCACGCCTGCTGCACCGCCGGGCCGCGCCGCCTTTAATTGCACTGACATTCAGTGGGACCGGGTGGCTGCCGGACGCCAGATAAAGCGCCGCCGCGCATTCAGGCGTTAATCACAGACAGCCCAGACAGCACCCTCCCCCCTCCCTCACCCCCCTCCCCCCCCCCCCAAATCACCTATAGGACCCCTCAATTCAAGGGGGGGGTTGCTCTATAAATATTCAGCAGGTGAGGTGCAGCTAATGTCCCCAACGATGTGATTCATGTGTGAGTGCTCTCAGCGTTGAAGCGCGCCCACGCTAACCCCCCCCCCCTCACGCCAACCCCCCCCCCCCACACACACACACACACACACGCCAAACCCCCCCCCCCCCCCCCCCCACCGCCACCTCCTCAATTACTGCTTGTCAATTTGAATTGTAATGAAAGCCTGCCAAACACATGTGGGCGTGCCAGTCAAGGGGACACGCGTGTGTGTGTGTGTGTGTGTGTGTGTGTGTGTGTGTGTGTGTGTGTGTGTGTGTGGGGGGGGGGGGGGTTAGGGGGGGTTAGGGGGTGGGGGGGGGGGGGGTTGAGGTAGGTGTTATTAGCCTCAGCCTCTCTGGTCTCAGTGAGGAAGCCAAGCTGAAGAGGATCAGCTTTCATCAGCGGGTCTGAGACTGTCTCTCTTCGCCACTAATGAACTCATGTCTGCCATTGTTTGCAGGGGCTCAAATGTACCTCCCCCCTCCCCCACTCCCACCTCACCCACCCCCCTCACCCCTCCCTCCCCCCCCCCCCAAAAAACACCTCTCGAAAATAGGGAGCGTCTCCCCTGAGTCAGATAAAGTGACAAATATAAAAACGAAGAGACCTTTAGGGCAAACGCTGTATCTACCAAATAAACAGCCAATACTTTACTGGGCACAGAAGGATGGGGGGGGGGGGGGGGGGGCTTTAAAAGCCATTTCTCTCGTCTTCTCCGAGACGGCGAGGGAGACGGGAGACAGGGAGGTAATATCCGGGAGTTGAGCGATGCAGAAAATAGCGGCGCAACATTTTTTTGTTGTTGTGTTGTTTTGCCATTGAAAACATGTTATGCTTGGCTGCTATGTGATACCCCAGAGCTAATACCTTTGGTAGCAACACACACACACAAGTGTTTTATTTTCATCAGCTCGGCGGTTCCCAGTCTGCCGCCTGGCTGGCGATGAGATTAAAAATGCGCGATGTGTGTTGACGGCGATCGCCGGTTGAGATCGTGTGATGTGATAACGACGACGCGTTCTCTCTCACAGTAATCCCTGCAGATGAGCAAAATAATAATTGTAATCTCTGGGAGTCGTTTTTTGTTGGATCCACAAATGAAACACAGGGAGGAGGAGGGAGGATAGTCTGGTGGGGGTTTGACTCCCGGACAAAAGGTTTTGGATTCAGACTCCGATGTCTACTGTCTACCTGTGGTCATTTGTGTCTTAAGGGTCAAGGGTCGTAACCCCCTTACCTGCTCAGGTACGTCACCTTGGATACGTGTCTGCTAAATGACCGAAGAGGAAACTAATTGGTATTAGTTGAATGCCGTCTCTGGTTTCATCAAAGGCTTTTAACAACAACAGTAAGGGAACGCTACTGTGCTGCACATTTAAATGTGCAGTATTTCATCATCTGCTCAATGATTAGGACTGTAAGAAAGGAAAGGTTCCCTTGAGGGGGAGCATAACCATATCAAAACCTGGATTTAAGAAAGTGTCCCTCTGGTCCGGGTTAAATGCCCGATATCAGTCACTCGCTGAGGAGGATCTGCATAATCCTTCAAGAATAAAAACAGCGATCTTAATGAGTATTGTTTTCTGTGGTGCTATAATACCTGCACTGGGAAAGATATTTCCATCCTGGGGGCGACTTTAATATTAACCGCTGATAAATGAGAGGAAACACAACAGATCAGTTAAACACCAAAGTGTTTAACTGGATCCTTGCCACTTAGCGAACCACATTGGAAAGTTGGAGCAATGCAATAACCGAGGATACTCTCCGCTCTCTCCGCCGCTTTCATCGCATTTCCGATGGAAATTGGTGTGGACGAAACAAAACAGGGGGGGGGGGTAAAAATAATACACGGAATTCAATTCAGACAAAATTGCTTTGAGGGAAGTAAACACTTGAGGCGAGACTTGATATGAAGTTTCATCTGGGCCCACAGACTCCTCCTCACAAAGCCCCTCACCTCCGCGCTTAGCAAGCAGAGGCTGAAACACGATGAACACACACACACACACACACACACACACACACACATTTAGCTCAATGCATGCGCTCCTTCCACCGGGGGAAATCTGCATTTACATTTACATTTAGCAGACACATTTATCCAAAGCGATTTACAAGTGGGGCTGAGTCAAAGCATAAAATAAAAATTGTATACAAAATATTGCTCCAAACTGTGCTGACATAAAAAAAAAGTGCTGCATAAGCAATTTTCTAAAGAAGAGAGCAGAATAACTATAGGAAATGCAGAATGGTTATGGTTTAGAGTTACAGCGGTATACAGGAAGTGCAGAATGGTTACGGGTCAGAGTTACAGCGGTACACAGGAAGTGTATGATGGTTACAGCGGTGTACAGGAAGTGCATGATGATTACGGGTCAGGGTTACAGCGGTATACAGGAAGTGCATGATGGTTACGGGTCAGGGTTACAGGAAGTGTATGATGGTTACGGGTCAGGGTTACAGGAAGTGCATGATGGTTACAGGTCAGGGTTACAGCGGTATACAGGAAGTGCATGATGGTTACGGGTCAGGGTTACAGGAAGTGCATGATGGTTACGGGTCAGGGTTACAGCGGTG